ACACACACACACACACACACACACACACACACACACAGGAAGTTTACGGAAAACACGAACAATTAAAAAGCCCCTTTATCCCCACAGCTTCTCCCGGCTTTTCCTGCCCGGAATCACAATGTCCTTTCGAGAGGCGCTTTTTCTCTCGTGAGCTATCGCGACCGGAGCGAGGGCTGCTGATGGCCCACACACAAAAGCCATGCAAATGAGCCGCGAGAGAGGCCCATCCGTCACCGCGCCAGATGCGCTCTCCCCATTATTATTTATGGCCATAATTGGCCCCGTGTTTCCTCGGGCGACGACTGCGCGCTGATGGATCCGACGATGACTCCGCTCGGCCCCGGCCCGTCAGGAAGCAGTCTGAAGGCAGGCAGGAAGGGAGAGGGGAGAAAGTTTTGCATGTTGAAGTGGGGGGAGGCATTCATCAACCCAAAAAGCCGCGCAGCATGACATCAGTCCAAACACGGACGTGAGCCGGTGAGACGAACCGCAGCTCAGAGATTTACGATGGAAAGTGTCCAAATGTTTGCGAAATTTCGATCTAGATAGGAATTTTCACAAGTTTGACACATGGGGATGTGAACAGTTGGTGGAGCTCATTTTCAGACTGGATTTAATTCACTGAATAAGAAGAAGGAGAAGAAGAAGGAGAAGGATCCCGGCTCCTGCTGTTTGTTTGTGCTTTCGCATGCATCATTCACCCACTGACGCTCCGACAAAGAGGAAAACACTTTCTACTGCAGCCTCAAGTGCAAGACATCGATTGAAAATTAGCACGTCCATAAAAATCCGCTGTCCGTGTTTACAAAAGTAATTCAGCGGGAAGCTGGAGCCAGCCAACCACAACCTCTGCAGAGGGAACGAGGGCTGATTGACCCTCTGAGGTTCTGGATGAATTTGAAAGGGAGTTCCTGATAAAGGAACTGATATATAGAACACAAGAACCCATTTAAAGATACTAAAGAAAAGAAAAGAAATAACATAAACCCTAACAAAACTACTGTTTCGTTGTCAGCATTTGTCACTATGACAACTATAACAACTTATAATTACAACAAAAAAAGGGATTAAAACCTGTGTTATTAAGATTTGTGGATTTTTCAGACGTGGGATTTGTCTATTTTTGTCTATGTATATAAAAATACCTTTATAAACTGTCATCGTAGTTATCCAGGTCATAGCACTCTCAAGTCAGGCTTCATAGGATTATAAGGAAGATCAACCAGTTTTTTTCTTTCAGAAGCTAAATTCTAAAATGTGATATTTCAGGTGGATTTTTACTAATGAACTACGTGCCCTCTGTGCATGTACTAAGTTCCGGCCCTGGACTGGTGTATCTATGGCTTCATTCACTCACAGCACCCACTCATCCATCATCCCCCCCCCCCACACACACACACACACACGCTGCTGTGAAGTCTGGAGGCACAGCAGAGGTAATGCATCGAGATGTGGGGTCACCGGCGGAATTGCCTGCTTGACTCCGGGACTGACAGAGTGGTCTCGGGGGGGGGGGTGGTCAGCGGCCGGGCGCTCTCCACGTCCGTCTGGCCAACGGATTCCTGTTGAGGAGAGGCCGAGTCGAGTTCCTCTCCGGTGCTGTGGACATGTTGCATGTCGCGGTTTGTCATCGGCCGTTAGGGGATGCTACCTGTCGGCAGGTGGCCTTCCCTCTCCTCTCACTCGTCCAACCGCCGCGCGGCGTTGGCACAGGTGCAAAAAATACCTCCAACGTGAAACCCTACGTAGCGGGTTTGGTGAACTCGGTAACAGTAAAACGCTGACCTCTCCGCGAGGGCCGACATTTCCTCGAGGTTTTTCCTTCGTCGGGTTGTTTGTCCGAGAACGAAGACGTAAATATTCTGTATTTGCGTGCAGATGGCAGTGACCTCTCCGAGTCAGTGCAGAAAAAACAGAACTGTGAGCCTGATGCTCCTCCAGTCCGGCAAAAAGAGCTCCGACCACTCAAAGTGTGACCGGTCCACATCTGGGGCTGAAACAATGGCAGCTGCTCGTGTAAACCTGATCACAAACCGATGCTTTTGTCGCTTCGTTTTAGAACTTAAGCTCGACTCGTCTTCATTTCTCCGAGTTTCCTTCCCTTCGGGGGGCCGGGGCCGTCGCCTCGGCACATCTCAATCTTCGAGAACACGCTCTTCCTTTCCAGGAGAGGATTGGCGCGTCTTAAAATCTCTGTGACTGACGGCCTACGTAAACAGCTAAACGCGGGGCTCGGAGCTGTCTGGCAGCCGGGCCCCCCCCCCCCCCCCCCTCCCCCCCGTGTGCAGGCAGAGGCTGTGCTCACCCTGATGTCTCGGGGGCCTGTGAGGGAAGACGAGGCCGCGGGCTGGCACCGCTCTCCCAAACGCCCACGCCCCTGATGCAGACGCGCTGGGCGCAGGCTGCTATTCTGAGCGCCGCATATCATTTGGCGTCATGCTCCCGTGGCATTAACTTGTAATCTTAATTAATTCATGAACATTTGGACCCGTTTTGGAGGCATGTGTGATGTTTTCCAGAGATACCGATCACATCTTGCGATGCCCAGAAGGGATGAGAGAGACCGGGATGGAGCCAAATTGAATTAGACGGAAATGCAGTTATACGCTTAATTTTATTCTAAAGTGACTCATTTTCAAAACAAAGTGAACAGTGGTACACTTTCTTTGCTCGTGTTTGGTCGCTGGGTTGCCCTTTAAGGGTGAAGGAGCAGGCTTCTGCCACCATCTACTGGCGAAACACCGTGAAACCTTGGGATTTAAAGGTTTATCAAGTCTGTTTACACATATGAAGGTTTCTGAGCGGTTTTTAGGAGCCTCAGCCATCGTGTGAACTGGTCAAATTCTCTAACAAGAATGAAGGAGATAATCCTGCATTTGGACTTAATATTTGCATACTGTTTGGTGGTCAGCTGGGACTTTTTCTTTAACATATACCATATCTAAGAGCATTGCTTTATTCAAATTAAAATAAAATCTTCATCAATAAGACAACAATGAGAATGCAGCCCTAAAGACGTTTAATCAGGCTACAACAGCTTTTGTGGAGGGACTGAAAAGTGAGTCCTGGAGGTCCGCTACCCTGCGGATTTAGACATTTCTCTGCTTTAAAAGAACTTATTTAGATTGAATAGACCTCTTTAAGCAGGGAAACATGTCAAACCTGCAAGATGGCGGCCAAAAGAGGACCTGACGGTGAGATCCCTGATTTAGTTCCTTCAGCTGTCAAAAAAGTCCTAAGTTGTCTTTAATTATTTCTTCCATTCACAAATATCTGTCATAACTTAAAAAACATTAATCAGTGATACATATAAATGCTCACATTCTGGGGACAGCTAACTTCTATAAAAGCTCGATCTTGATCCAAACTGAAGTTGTTCGGATGGCAAAGTGAAGAAAATCCCACCGAAATATTTACATTTGAATGAGATATTTAATCATCAATAGTAGCAGAGAATATAAAGGCAACAGGGCAGTGAAATTCAGAAAATGTCTGTAACCTTTTAAGAATGTGGTTTTAAATCATCAAAAATAAAGTCTTTGTAAAAAAAAAAATTAAAAAACTAAGTTTCAATATGTCAGAACGTATGTATGTAATGTAAGTATTGTCCACTCACAGCCGCTTTTCTCAGTGTTTTACTCACACAAACTGCAATTCAAATACATCTGTTTTAGGATTTTAACACCCAAACGAGACAGTTCAAAAACTGAGAAGACATCACTTTCTTTCTGATGAAGCCCTAAATTAAACCTGCCACTGTACACAATAGTGATTCCATTAAGTCACATTTGGCTTACATTAAGGGTCATGAGAGGTCAGTACAAACAATCTCGGGCAGAAAATATGAAATCAGATGGACATTTTTTTTATTAAAGCATGCCAAACATTATTCAATTCTTGCCCCGATTCACAAATAAGGAGGATAAAAGTCCTCCCTAGTGGGTGACTTCCTCCTTTTTGCCAGCGGTTGTAAACACTTCAAGGCCATTAAACAAGCAGCATGATTAAGTCTAATGTCACTAATGCAACATTTAATCAAAATCCTTAGAAAATAAACGACAAACTTGTCAGAAAAAGGGCACAGAGGAGAAAATACGAGGTACGAAAGTCAAGACACTTTACAGGCGAGGTGACCCCACAGACTCCTCAAAGAGGGTCTTTAAAGGTTTACGTTAGCCTTGATAACAAAAGAAAGAAAGATGGAGTTTGTAAAGGGAATCAGTAGCTCTACATATAAACTCTAGAATTAGACAAAAACAAAAAGTTTGAGGCGAAAAGGAAAAATCCACCCTGATAAGTTCCGGCTGGCCTCACTGCTGCTTATTAGCTTAAGCCGTAAATGTTATTCGGGTTTTAAATATCTCATGAGCAGACATTTTGTTTCAAGCGTGAGCTGGGAGCTTTGTTTAAATCTCAATGCAAAACGGTTCTTTAACTGTAACCCATCTGCATCTCCACTTAGAAAAACAGGACAGGGAAATTGTTGACTGTTTTAATTTCTTTGGAGAAATAATGACCAGATCAATGCTTTTTCCTCATGCTTCATTTAGGCATCACATTCCTAATACTAATTTATAGATAGTTTAGGAAAGGGCACTTCCTATAGTTTATCCTGTGACCCGGAATAAGAAGTGAAAAAAAAGCTGTTAAAGGGTTGAACTGAAAAACGATCTTAATGCTTTCAAATGATTTTCGTCATGTTTTCTGTATGAAAATATTGAGGATAAAATCCTGACTGTGGCCAACTCGTTTGCACCCGTTTACAGATAGTCTGTAAAATGCTGTTTCAGCTCCTGTCTCTTTAAGGCCCTCTTCCCAAAAGGCTCAGCTGGCTGTGATTGGTCAGCGAAAAGTGGAAGTAGCCCACGGTGAGTTTGGGAGCCCCCGTCTCCAGTGGGACAGAATAGCTTCCGCTGACCTTTAAAATTTATGTATAAAAAGCTTAAAGTGAACCCATTTGAGTCAAGCATGGGTCCATTAACTCCTCCGGAAGTTCCCATTCATAAATAGAATTTGCCCATTAATAAAGGCTACTGAACCACTACTTGGAGGATCTCAGCGGTGTTGGCGACTCGGGCTTGGCCGCAGTCCGGCTTGCTGCGGCCTCCTTTCTCTGCCGGGCCGGTCTTCTCCAGGAGCTCCGGCTGGCCGCTCTGCTGGTGGCCGAACTCGAAGGCGATCCGGAGCTCTCCCATCCGGCAGCGGGGCAGGACGTCCGGGATCCACTCGATCACGAAGGGGCCGGCCTCCTTCTGGTCGGCCACGCCTGGTCCTGGCAGGGCCACGGCCGGGGTCAGCACAGAGGACCAGACCACTGGGTTTTACTCCCCAGACAGAAATAAGGATGGTCACCCACCGACTTTGAGGAAGGTGCGCAGCTCCATGGGCCGTATGGCCTGAGCCCGGTCCGTCCTGAAGGCCTCGGGCAGTCCCGGCTCCGGCGGGGGCTCTGGGCAGCGAAAACGGGCGTAAGAGCCGTCCCCGTTCTTTACAAAACTCTGAGTGACTTCCAGAGGCAGCTTGTGGGCAGACATTAGAGGAGGCTTTATAGTCACATTACCAGAAACGCACTCAATCATTCGAAGTCACACAGTCCCCCAAAGGGGGAGAAGCATTAAAACCCATTTTCAGAGCTTTTACCTCGGGAGTGTCGAAGATGCGTTTGACCTGCAGCAGGCTGGTGATGTGCCAGGTGTACTTGGAAAAGGAGCCCAGAGGAAGTCCGTCATTCCTCACAACTGCACAACCATGCACAGAGAGAGAGAGAGAGAGACTAGCAAGACTAAACTAATCGTTTCAGTACAAAAATGTTTGATCTCATTTCGATGACAATTTAGCTACAAACATAAATAACTGAAAATCATTCAGCTGCTCGAAAACTTTTTTGTTTAGTTTTTATAAATATTTGTTTAAAACTTATTGTGATATAGCCATATTTAAAGCAGATTTTGTATTTCTAATTATTTGCGTCCTCCGAGATGCATTTTTTGCATGAAAAGGGTTCCATAAATGAAGCCACACGTGTCATAATCCAAGCACTTTATTTACAAATAGTCAAATAGTTCACAACGTCTGGTATTTTCTAAGATTATCATGTTGTCAAAGGAAATCAATATGAAAAAATGCACTTTTTCTGTCTGCATTCACCTCGAATACCGCACAGGGTAACACAATTTTCTAACAGGTGTGCCATTCTTTAAACAAACCTTGTGCACATGGATTGAGTCCCACCTGTTGTTGTATTAGGCAGTCTCCTCTTCTTGGACCCCAGGGACATGCGCTGCTGCAGAGCGTTGAAAAACTCCAGGGGGATGTGGTAGACCAGAGGCTGTGGCTTCCCTGAGGGGGGGGGGGAGCGGGAAATGACTAAATACAGTGTGAAACAAGCACCTGAAGGCATCGTTCTGCAGAGATAAACAATCCTGTGGTTTGCAGAATGTTTTAAAACGCCTTGTGATGAAAAAATAAATCACGAAACATTGTTCTATGGAAAGGTTTAAGCATCATCTCAACTATAGTGTTTCTTCTCTCATAAAGTGTATCAACTGGTTGTTCACGCTGCCCTCTGGTGGTCGAAGAGCCAAACCACACTATTTGGTTTAGCTGGTTCAAGTACTTGTTTTTAGTGTATTAAGTCTTACTAAGTTGTAATAAAAGCCTTAAGTGTCTTCAAACTAAGCATGCAGATTCAAAAAGATTAAATCTTACATTTAAACTGACATAAGTTCTATGAATTGACCTCATAAGCTTAAACAATATCACAACAATATCTGGTGCATTGTTTGTTTGTTTTTTATTCAATCGTATTATGTATAAACAAACCTGTAATTTCAATGTAATAATTGACCCATTCAGTTTTCTTTGTGCAGCAGATTGCTCAGAAGAACTAATGAAAGAACCAACGCTGCCTGAGGTTTTATCTCACCACGAGTAGTTTTTGTATCTAATGGTTTTAGCCCAAAAATGTTCTTCCGGTTGTTTGTTCCTCGCCCCGCTGACCCGTCCAGCCTTTCGTTAACAACATTAACCAAAACCTTTGGCAAACGTTGGCAGTTTCGGCATTTGTTGGAGTTCCAGGGAAGCCGGGGGCTTTACCGTCACACTGGAAGTGCATAGTCTGGTGGATCCTCTCCGTCACGCCGGCCAGCCACTGGAGGAAGCTCATGCTGACCGAGCGCTCGTCCACCACGGGGGCGCTCCCTGAGAGAAACACAGGCAGGTCAGAGGCACGGCAACGCTTTCCCGTCCGCTTATGGAGGCTAAAAGCGTAAAGGTCGGGGGGCGAGGGAGCAAAAGCTGGAATGATAGCGACAGACGTGTAGGAGGATGTGGAGGGGAGAGAGGTGAGTCAGGCAGCACCTGCGGCCTTCAGCCCACCAGCGGCTTTCCTCTGACCGGCTTTCCTCACACCGGAGGCCGACGCCCCCTCTCTCCACGCCGCGGAGGGGGAGGCCGCTGAGGGGGCTTCACAGAGCCAAGGGGGTTAAAGGACGAGGGTCGGGGAAAGATAAAAGACAGAAAGAGAAGGCAGGACAATGGGAGATTCAGACAACGCTCATAAGCAGAAAAAGCTTCATGCTCGGTGTTCCGGGTCCTACGGGGTGGGGAGGGAGGGGGGGAGAGAGAGAGACCCCACCTGAGACTGAGTTATCCAGGCAAAGCTTTTTGCTTTTGGGACGGGAGTCGACACGTTCGGCCTCCAGAAGTTTCTCGCCGGGATTTGTTCTGCTGGACGCACTCTGTGGCAAACCTGCAAACACAGCAGCCAGGGAAAAAATAAATCATTATGTCCGTTATTTATTTTTTATTTCTCTAATTTTAAGCATAAATCTAAAACTGTCAAAAATAACACATGTATTATGGAGTTACTTCTTTCTAAAGGAAAGAAAATATTAGATATTTGATGTCTAATTGCAGTGAATCAATACTGGAGTAGGAAATTATTTCAGTCTAAACAGTTAGTAGCTCCTTAAAAGCTGGTGAAAAGACCCAGTGGGATCTCTAAAGACCCGGTTACTGTACCGCCGGAGGGGTAGTCGATGAAGGCCGCGAACTCCGACGCCAGCTTCTCGTTGCTGGCGAAGGCGCACACACAGGCGTGGAAGTGAAGGCAGGGCTGTGCTCCCGGGCACGGGGGCGGCTGCGGGCTGCCCACTCCTTCCCCCGCCGGCTTATTCCTCCTGCCGCCGGCCTGGCATGCGCAGTGGAAGACGCCCTTCTCGCCCTTCGGGGCCTCCGCCTGCCCCGCCGCGCCCACGCTGAGGTGCAGGAGGCCCAGGGGGTGCTGGGAGTCGGCGTGGCACTTGACCACCAGCGTGTCTTTGGACACGCGCTGCACCAGGGGCCCCGGCGACTCCGTGGCCAGCCTCCACAGCTCCTCCCTGGCCTGGACGGAGGCCCGCAGGCCGTCCAGGGCCGAGTTCTTGAGGGTCAGGGGCGTGGCGCGGCCCTGGCACTCGATGGCCTGCTTGATGTGGACGCACAGGCTGTCGGAGGACGGCTTGGACGCCGATGCCGCCGCCGCCGATTCTGCCTCGCGCTGATTTGACCTCTGACCCTGCCGGCAGGACGGCAAAAAGCAGCGGCCCAGGTTGATGCGGGTCAGGAGGGTGGCCCCGTCCCCGGTCGCTATGGCGGTATCCGTGGGAACCAGCTCCACGAAGCCCCACTGAGTGGCCGTGGCTCCCCTGCCCCGGTGGCACACGGAGAACACCTGGGCCCCCCCGCCGGGGCCGGCGCCCAGGAGCCCCACGCCCTCCTGATCTTTGCCTCCCGCGTCCTCGCTGTCCGTGACCAGCCTCACCACCTCCACGCCGCATCTCTTGCTGCTCCGAGCGGCCGAGGGCGCGCTCCGGAGGGACACCCCGCAGGCCTTGTTCTTGCAGCTGAGGCCCCGGGTGCCGTTGTAGACGCCGCACTGGGGACACTTGCGGATGCCCCGCAGCGTGGCCCTCCCCAGGTCGCAGAGAAAGGCGGGAGTGGCGGGTGCGGGTTTCCTGCCGTCTCGGGGTTTTGCCGGGAGACCGGCCTTACTGGTTGTGGCCTGAGGAGAGGAGGGCGAGACGACGCCGGGGGAAGAGGACACTGCCACTTCACCGTCCATTATTGGGCGTTAAATGGACATGAAGGGCTTCAGAGCTTAACAAAGCAGAGAAATATGTTACAAACGTCAGGGAAAGGCAGTTTGTTTTGTTGAAGACATTGTGTTTGACTATTTAAACAGGACTGGTATTCACCTTTAATTAAAATGTTATCACAATATTGCTTTACTAGTTTCAATGTTTTAACTGCATTGAATTAGTGTAGTCCATGTTTAAATCCACCATCCTCATTGGAAGCGCACCACCTACGTCACACGTGAAATTTCTATGCATGTTCTTTAAACAAATGCTCCAGCTACCTCTTTTGCGCCTGTTTGGTCAAATCCGGCTCACTCTAGCCTCCAAATCCGCCCCGGCCGTCGCCATTCCTCCTTACATCCAGACAGCCGCATTGCGCCTGTAACGACACTCATTATTGGACGGTGATGGTCACGTGTGCCAAAAAAGCCGGGGCGGGGACTAAGGAGAGTTGAATCATGGGAGCGGTAGTTCAGTTAACCAACAGGCGGAAATTCAAATGCAACTTTTTAGGCATATTTATAATTTCTTGACGCATTATCTAAGCAATAAGATAAAAAGTGGATTAAAACCTATTTAAGTTCAATTTCAATTCATTTTTATGTGGCTCAAAAGGTAAATGTTTCTTTGATGGCATGGCTTCGAACTGACGTGACAACCTCAATATTTTCTAAACTGTTAACACTGCTGCCTCGCTTTCAGTAAGACTTTAACGAGATTCGTTTACAGTAGTCATCTAACGAATTTAACTGTCAGGTTTTCCTAGCTAGAAAGTGCTCACATTTAGCAGATAGCTAACGTGCAGGACGAGGGCAAATACTTTGGCAAAGCAAACATTTTCCCATGTTAGGCCACATCTGGAAGAGGCATAAGAGCAACCTGGTTTATGACTTTTTTCTGCTAAAAATAATAGCCAGTACATCAGTTTATTATGTTATAAAGCAGTTTGATCTGAGTGACTTTATTGTACCCCTTTTTGTTTAAGACCAAATATTGAAACACATGACTTAAAAGTCTCTGGCAGAGAGCCTCTGATCTTAGGTCAGTTAATTAGAGCTAATCAAATAATTCAGGTGTAACAGATTAATCATGCATGGATTTGTCAGCAGATTAATCCGCTGGTTTCAAACATGACACAAAGTGTAAATGTGGGCTGTTTTAAACACCAGCGTTTTAATGGGAACAAAGCAAAAACACAAACCATCAACAGAACTTCTCCTCCAAAACATAGGCTGAAAACATTCATAGGCACCGCCTACTCTTGGATGATTTTTTTGGTTCAACTAAAAATAACTCACTTGATAAGGCAACACAATGGATTTCCCAACTACATTAAGATGACTGTGGCCACAGTGTAAAAATCTGATCCTTACAAGTGGGTTTCTTACTTTATAAAAAACAATTGCTGAGTTGTTGTAAAACAGAATAACTTAAATTAGGAATTTCTGGTCAATCTAAAGGCGTCTGCGTCACACAGCACGGCTGCTTGTCCTCCAAGCTGCTGGAAGAATAAAATCATAATCTTTCTACCGACACGGAGCAGCACTGGGTGAAGATGCTTAGGTCAAACAGATGTTTGTCGTCCATGTCATTTCCCCAGCCCGGATCCAACACGCCTCCTTAATGAAGATGTCTTTATACAGATTTAGTACAATTTAACAGACCGTTTGGTTATTTACATAAAACAGGCTTCCAAATAAAATCACAAATAAAAGTGGAATGCAAAAACATTAAAACAAAAAAAAAAAGTCCTTGTGTTTAAATTTTTGTGAAAAGTTATCCTTAAGTATTTGTGCAATATCTGTCTGCCTATAAGTAAGATAAGAGTGGCAGTAATCCCTGCAATTGTTTTGAGATAAACAAATTCAAAAATAAAGTTGACAGCCACTTAATGTTTCATAAACAAACAGAAAAAAGGTCTTGCGTGTCACATGATTTGATGGTGTCACCTCGACATTCCTTCAGTCCTGAAATCAAAGACGAAAGGCAAAAGCTCTTTACACGATGTCGGCACGTTTAAGTCGCTCCAAAACAAACACTTTTCTCCTCCATACCTGTAGCACTTTCAACAAAACTAAAAAAAAGAAAATGGTATAGTCCTTTTTGATTCGAGGGAGGATGACCATGGCGTTGTCTTGGTGAGTAAAAGCTTCAGTTCATGCACACACACACACACACACACTCTCTCGCGCACGCACACACTCGCGCACACTCTTTTCCACGGATGGGATTCTCCGCCTGCTCAGTCCGGTTCGGGAGATGATGTGACGGGGAGCCGACGTCTGCGTCTTTGTGAGTGAGGAAACCTGACAGCGGCTGCAGGGTTCGGTGGGCAGAGCGCCGGCGAGGCCGACGGGCTCCAGCGGAGACAAATAAAACCTCTTCGTCCAAACGAGTCTTGTGGCTGAATACTGGGGACTACCGAGTGCTTTCTGCGGGCAGAGTTCGTCGCCTCTTTTCCCTGTCGGGATCGTTACTATCGGTATAAAATTCTGCCCGTGCTCTTTGGCTCTGAGGGGCTGAAAACAAACAAAGGCTGTTGTTCTTATAGGGTTAATTAGCGGCTCTTTTTTTTCCCTCTTTTTTTTTTTTTAAGCTAAACTTCCTTTGCTAGAAATCTCGACGCTGAATAATTTACATTTGGCCTGTAACACACCGAACGATAAAATGGGCCCAGGAATGCGAGGTGTATTAGCAGTAGCTCTGACAGTGTTCAAGTGTGGATCGTTGTCGGGACACTTGCAGGTTTGGGCAGTGGGGTGGAGGGTGGGGGGGGTGAAGTTGATCGAATGGCGTACCAGCTTCACTAACAGAGGAATTTTGTGAGGTGACAGACGGAGCACATCTGATGCGCTCCTTCCCCAGCAGAGAATGATCCTTGTGGCCTCGGACGCCGGCGGGGCGGGGCGGGGGGGCGATCAGTGGGTGTGGTAGCCGGCGGTGCTCATGCCGGCCTGGTTGGTTAGCACCGTCCCGTTGACCCCCTGCCCGGGCTCCACCATGCCGCCGTTGCTGATGGCGCCCACGCCCGTCCATCCCGCTCCAGCGTGTAAGTGACTGAAAGCAGACGGAGACACAGCGTTCAGAGGCGAGCGGGGCCACCTGCCGCCACTTTGCGCTTTAGAGCTTCAAAAGAGCTCGGGGGTTCGGCTCCATCTTAAGGAGAAGGGTCGCCCTCCCACAACAAGAACGTTCACAATCTGGACTGTTAGATGGTTTGAGCGATGGGGGTTAAGAAAGCAATCTACTTGCCCCTTTCCACTCATCCCTCTTTGGTTTAGGTCGTTACAGCTGCCCCCAAAGTTCTGTGTCTATAACCCATTTCTCCCTTCCATGTAGTTTAGAAAGCCTTTTAGATGAGGTGGAATGTTTGTTTTTTTTATCCAAGAAGAAGAACACAGAGGAGGAAAACACATTTCGATGAGAGCAGCCACCTCCACTCACTTGTAGCCCTGCTGATCCCAGGTCTGTCCATAGACTCCGTAGCTGGGCACCTGCCAGCCGTTGGGCACATACTGGCCGATCTGCTGCGTGTTGCCGTACCACTGACCCCACTGGCTGTAGGGCTGCGCCGCGAAGCTCAGCGTGTTCTGCTGGCGTGGAGGGTGACAAGCCGCAGTGGTTAAAGCCCGGGGCAGCGGCTGAGCCCGGAGCCATCGGGGCGACGGAGGGCCCCTTACCTGAGCCATCTGCACCTGCTGAATGGGGCCCTGGACCATGTCCGTCGTCTCTTTGCCCCAGTAGCACTTGACCACGTAGCCCTCTATGGAGGTGCCGTTAACCGAGACGATGGCGTGAGCGGCTGCCTCGTGGGAGTTAAATCTGTCCAAAGCAAACACATCGGACGTTAAAAATCTTCATTTTTTCCTTTGTGGCATTACTTGAAACAAAAAAAGAGAAAGAAAAAAAAACATTCAAAACTACCTCACGAATGAGTAGCCCTTCTCTGGGAAAACACGGATTTCCATGATCTGGCCAAAAGGCGAGAAGGTCTGTCTCATCGTTTGCTCTGTCAGGAAGTAAAGAAAGTTTTCATTTAGCACGCTATGCTTTTTGTCCCTGAGGTTTTAGTCAAACTCCCTCTTACCTGTGAGGCCTGTTGTGACTCCACCGCAGTACACGGTGCAGTTGCTGGGGCTGGACTGGTTCAGCACCTCATCGAAGGACAGCTGCTTGGAACTGGTCGCTAAAAGGAGGGAAAAAGGGAGAGATTTAGGCTACAAAAGCCATTTGTTCAACCCTGCGACGTGGCACGTAACTGACTTCGTTGAAAGACTCAACACTCATTTCTTCTACTTCTTAAGTTCAGTCTTTTAAACCTTAAAAATCTAAAATGAACTGAACAACTCTGCTGACTACACTGTGGCTCCTTGTTGTTAACTGTTAAAGAAAGTTGGACGGGCCTGTTCACGGCCAGGATCAGACCCAGTGGGGAATTGAATCCCTGTGAACCTACTTTCATTTGTGGTTTTGGGAGCAGGCTTCCGGGTGGCCCAGTTGGTTCTGATCTGCCTTCCTCCCAACCACTGTCCTCCCATCTGCTGTATGGCGTTTTCTGCATCCTGATTTCAAAAGAGACAAACAAGGGACGTTAGCCATTATAATTCAAAGTCAACTAACAAACCGGCCCCTTCTGACACACACTTACCCATTTATTGAAGAAGGAGACAAAACCATAGCCTTTAGATTTACCCGTGGCCATGTCTTTTACCACTCGACAGTCCCTGTGGACAGACGAATGAAAAACTAGTAACAGAATAAACATCAAGCGTGTCTGATTTCACTCGAAACTTAAGTGGGGGCAATTTGGGGTTTTATGGGCATATAAATGTGCCTAAACCGGATGTCGTCGTCATTTTATCATATAAAATTGATGTTTTAACTGGGTTAAAGCTTGGAATCAGAGTTGCATTCAAATCTTGGCTCAAACAAATCTTAATTGTCTTTTAGTTTACAATGAACCATTAAACTGTGTTTTCCAACAGTCCTTTAAAATAATTTTATTCAAAGACGAATTGACATCTGTTATTCATTCCCAAAAGTACTTACGAAATCTTCCCAAATGGAGCAAATGCTGCTTTTATGTCATCTGTGGTGATTTCAGGACTTAGATCTCCAACAAAAACATGGAAGTGACCTAAAAAAAGAAAAAAGTTAATTTAGTAGGTTTTGAAACGAAAACAGCACTAAGTGAATGATTCCTTGACAAATTCTAAGAATTTAGGGGGGGAAAAGACATCTGTACAGCTTGTGGAGTGTTGGAGGACTCACTGCTCGTGTCTTTCTTCTGGCTCGTTGGCGTCGTGGCCCAGTTGACCTTCACCTCCTGAAAGAAAAACAGACGCAGAAAGCGAGGAAGAACAGAAGGTGAGACATCAGGCCTGCTCGCAGGAGGAAGGAAGCTTCTTCTCTGATTAGAGGGTTTGTCACACACCAGCTTTACTTTTTGGTCATATTTTGTGATTGATTGGTCTCTGAAAGCCACATCAACACAAAGTGATTATCCATCTAATTTTACAAACCTCTGCATTAATAGATACACAGTAAAATACAATGGAGTACATAAAGGGACATTAAGACTTCACCCTTATAAATCAGGAACATTTCATTCTCAGTCTAGTATTAATTTGGAGCAAAACTGTAGGAAGTAAGGTCCAAATAACAAGGGACTTACAAACAAGTGATTTTTACGAACTTGTTATACTCCTCAAATGGTCCTTCAATACCTGTTGAGGATAAAATATTTTCAACTGAATGTATTTTCTTTGAACTTGCTCTTATGTGGATTCTAAGTGGAAATAACTTTGCAAAAAGAACACACAGCAGTAAAGATGTAGGGGGGGACAGAAGAGCATCAATTCAAAGTAGATCAAAGAAGGTTACATGTTGCATGATCACACAGCAGGGCCACGTTAAAACTGATTCAAACACAGATGGAAACTCACTCAGAGAACATTGTCATTCAAACAGGGACAGCATGGAATCAAGAAGTGATAAAAGACCCGAACAGCAGCCCCCTTACCACCATCACCACTCATCTTGTGCACGATGCGACCACCATTAAGAGAACAGCCTCCGTGATCGAGACCTTTGCTCATTACGGCCAAATGAGAGAGAAAAGCCGACCCCATCGTGTGAACTACAGATTTTTTCCTGCCCTCAATGTCAAAGCTAGAGCTTTTATAAAAACTAGTTATTGCGACTTTGATTTTGCAAACTTATAAAGAAATTAAGAGGCCACAAATGATCACCTTGAATTAATCCACTGACTGAAATATGACGAGTTTTGACATCTTTAATGGGCTTGGATCACGCTGTGTTTTTAAGAGCGCTGCGGCATAATAACTCGCTCACCTGGAGCGCTGCAGCTACAGATGTGAATACATCGTTCGGCTTTTGTTTGACATTTATAGGCCGCGTAAAACATTTTCTATAGAACGAATTTAAACAAGCTTACATGTGGAATGGGCGGCTACTGTGTTTCTTTAACTGTTCAGCACAAAAAAATAGTTGTGTCTGCTTACAATAATCTACGCCTTTTGAATACGGTGACTAGGACGTTGCGCTCCAGTTAAACCATGCAGAAGGTCCCTGCACAGATGCACGTGTGAACGCATCGATGCACAACAATTCTTACTCCGTCCTGGTTAGTTAATCTGCATGATGGCAAAAGTGGAAAGAAAAGGAGAGATCTACATACTAAAGCTACACTGTTGCTGTTTGTTCTATAACATGTTTTTTTTCTCTTGAAAGCCAACTGCTCTTCCGATGCACAAAGGTAGGAAATGCTCTACATTTTTTGGGTCATTTTAAAAACATTTGACTAAATACTGAACTTGAGCTGCTGTCCCAGATCAAGGACCAAACGGCTGAGCTCTTCCAAACCACCATTGATGATGTGAGCTTTGATAAACTGAGCGGAAGCCATCGTATTTTAAATGTTATCAATAAACCCAATTACTTTTTGAAATATTGTAATGAATTTAAGATCTTTTTGCTGTATCTTGAACTGTTTTCTCAACAGCAGCGAGAACGGACATAGTAAGGGTGGCACTGCCATCCTGGCTATTTAGACAGTGAACGGAAAGGAATAAAACAAATTAAAAGGATTGGAGCAGGAAAACGGAAAGTAAGATAAGGTTCACCAAGACAAGAATCTCCCATCGCTTCACGTCAAACCCTGCCCACCCTGCTCTGCCCTTGGAGGACTCACCCAGGAGATATGATAGCTTACCTTACCCAGTATTTTCCGACCATTCATGGCTGCAATTGTGGCAGTGGCATGTCTATGCTCATAGAACTCCACAAAGCAGTATGGATCATGACCTGCTGTCTGGAGGAGGCAAGAAACAGACATTTTAAGGCATTTTCTAAATGACATTGAAACTGAGCATTTAGAGGGGAGCACAGAGCGAACAGTCTCTGAGAGAAAAACATCAGACAGTTCAGCAGTCTGTAGGGACATCAGGAGCAAGGAAATACAATTTAACTCACATCTACTATCATTTTACAGCTTTTGCAGGGGCCAATTTGGCCGAACAATTCCAAGATGAGGGCCTCTGTCACGTCCCGGGACAGATTCCCCACATACCTGGACACACACAAACCAGAACAGAAAAGGACTAATTAGGGTTGGGATTGGGTACTGACAGCAGCCAGATCCTAGGTGGATGCTCACTCATACGATGGCGTGGCTGTCTCCTTGGTTATGAATTTAACAGTCATAATGAGTTTATGACTGGTTACAAATGGGCTCCAGCAGTATAAAAGGCTTTTTTTTTAAAGTCCAAACAGTGGCCGTTGGTAGGAATGACCCCAAACATAATATCTGCTTCCAGACTAGACAGCTTGAAGGGTTCTGAGTTAAGGAATCAGATGGGAATATTGTGAAAGTATTAATAGGGTTTATATTTAGGTAGTAAAATGTACTGATGACTAATTACCACCGTGCAAAGGGGTTAATGAGAAACTATTCAAATAACCATAAAGTAAGATATGCTTGAGAAGATCCATTTCCCACTGAGTTGCATTAGAGAGACCACAAGGCACATTGCTCCTGCAGCAGAACAGGAAGCACACAGTTTATATTCAATTACAGTCCCAAACTGATTTCCCTTTTAGCGCCTCCCTTTCTGCAGACAATTTCCCTGAATAAACCGAACAGATAACAGAGAATCACAGTACATTCTGGATTTAATACACCCGTCTTATATGACTGTTTCTGTGATGCAAACAAAACTAGAGGAAAATCCCTGTTAGATCTGAGTTTTCCTTCAGGAGAAACTACAAAAATGCAGCACAGCTGTGATTACTTAAACCTCACATATTTTAAAATGATAAGAGGCACAATAAATGTTCTTGCAAACTTATCAAGATTTGGATAATTATTGGTTTTATTAAATAAATCACGTGTTTCAAAACTATACATGAAGTATTTAATGAGTAAAGAAAACAAATTAATAATTTATTGCAAATACTTTCCTGGAAGACACTAACGGAATTATGGGACAAACGATTAATCAACCTGATGGCTTTCACAAAGTAGACGCCCTGTTAAAGCTACAATAAGAGGGACCAAATGAGGCCGAACTATAGAAGCACAAACACCTGTAGGCAAAGAAATCTGAGGGCAGCTTGTTCCAGGCGTGACAGTAATTATAGCATTTAATGATAAGCCAAACATAGAAAGCAACAAGGGAGCAGCAACATCACTGAAATATCAACCACTGACCTTGCTCGACTTCCAGCAGGTTTTAAATAGAAATAAGATGATCTTCCTAAGATCATTAGTACAATCAGTTTTCATAATCAAATTAGCACCAGCATTCAGGCTTATGTTACAAAACTACCCATTAAAATACTCTCCCAGGCCTCCACAATGACGACTGAGACAACTACGATGAACAGGCCGGTTGTTTTGTGGTTTTTGGCTCGCAGAACTTTAATGTGGTGCAAAGTGGGGTTTAATACATTTCCTAAACATTCACAGGCACCGAGGGTTGTTTTCTTTGCAAATACTTCTGTTTAAAAATGTGTTTTTCTGAGGGGAAGATGCGTGAGCCGACGCGTAAATTTCAGATTTTTCTGGAATTAGCTAGCTTGTTATGAAGCTAGTGGAGAATTTACAAGAGGTTAAATCTATGCCTTTTGTTTGGTGTTTGAGATATTGCATGCGTTTAATTAAAAAAATAAAGGGGAAACGAATAAACAATTTCTAAAAGGTTAAACCATACCCGATACATAAAGAAGGGCTGCAACTGGCGCTAAATGTTAACAAGATGAACACTAGCTTGTGGCTAACGGTAACGCAGTCACACACTTACAAGGTTTTAGGCTGCTCGTCGTCCATTCTGTCTCACTTGCTGACCGAAAACAAGTCGCGACCCTGAGAGAAAATCCACGACTGTCGCGGGCAGCGTTCTGTGACACCCTCGACTTATTTTTATTTCGAAATAAGAAAGGGTTTAACGCCGCTGTTAGCACCACAGTTGAACAATGGGCTGCCGACAAAGATGGCGGAGCAACCGGGGGCCGACTCCAAACGCGCATGCGCAATAGTTCATCTGAATGTCGATTGGAACTAGAACAACGCAGAAGTTTCTAAAAATATCATATAAAATATCTTTTTTAATTAATCATACTACTTTCCAACCTTCACTAATGTAATGACATAATTCCGAACTTATTTAAGTCGTTATTTTCCAGTAACATTGAGTTTTTTAAAAAATATTTACATTTTCACCTGTTTCTACCTTCGGGAAATAACAACTATGGATATACCTATTATTTATTTAGTGTAACTTAAAAAAGTTAGACAAGGAGTTCCCAATAAAGTCAACAAATGAATCATATGGATTTGTGTGAGCTTAAACAAAAATGTAAGCTGTAACCCAGTTTCTTAGGTCAGGACAGAACAACACGTGAAGTAGGCTGAGAGGCTCAGACAATGGTTATTATTATTCAGGAAAAAACTTTTTTTACACTTTAAGTTAGCATTATCCTTAAAAAAAATGACAGTTGAAAAGTGACAGCCAAACTCTTTATAGAAAACTGTACAATTTACAACATAAACAAAGTTTTTTTTTCCAGTTCTACAGCATTAAGAAATAGTTTAAAACTGCTGAAAACACTCATTTCATTTATTAAATCCTTAAAAGGTCAGTCAGACCTGTCATCCATACACTTTTTAAACCCTTCACTGGGACACAAAGTAATCCCTTTAGTAAACTGTTACATCGCTTGTTTTCCCAAGTATTCCTAAGTCCACGCGTGAAATGTAGAGTTTGTTTGAATTTTTTTTCTCGTTCTCTGGGTTAAGGTTAGAATCACTAATACCTAAAGTGGCTCTGGCATTTATGATGCATTTAAAAGAACTTGGAATTCTGGACATCCAACTTCTGACCAGAAGAAAAAACATCAGAAGTCAAATGTCTCAGCTTCCTTTCCCAAATAATAATACATTTCTTTCCCTAGTAAAAACAAAATGTTTGGATGTCCTTGATCAAGTAAATCAAACATAGTACATCATGATGAATTTAAAGCTAAATCATTTCTTAAACTTAGTCAAATATATGCCTTTTTTTTGCTGTCAAAGAAACCTGAAAGCAACCAGTTTCGTATGGACAAAAATGTAACTTCTCCAAGTTCCTACAATCTCCAGGAGCTTTGAATGCATCATCATGCCTGATCTGTTTAACTTCAGGGATATTTCACCAGGTCAGATAACACACCTTTGACAGTATGCATAATCATTCATAAGAAACGTTAACAGCCTACAAACATAAATATGACTACACAACATAATCCTGTTTTTGCTCTTTTTGGCGCTTTCAGGTCCAGCATTTCAACACGTTCTTTTCCAACTTTCCTTAGTAAACGTGCGTCGAACTGGAGACCAGCTGTAATCCTGAAAAGTCCCACGAGTTTAATATCACTTAAGGGCGTGTTATGTAAACTATTTAGCTAAAAAGAACATGTGAAACTTGATTTCATGTAAACACTTCAAGTCAACTGTTGAAATTAATTTAGAATATATGACAATTACATAAATAATAATCACCGGCACACAACCTTTATCTTAAAAAACAGAAGACAGAAAGATATCCCTGCGAGTTCATTTGTTTGCACGCCCGGACACAGCTGGGACCAGCATCTTCTCCGCCCCATCCCTTCCTCATCTCGGGCAGACGTTGTGGTCGGTGATGAGCTTCTCCATTCTCTTTATCTTGCGTTTGTTCTTGGGCATGGGCTTGTCGTACATGCCGTTCTTCAGCAGGTGCTCCTTGCTGTGGTGAACCTGAGCGCCGTGCTGAAGCTGGAAGGAACACAGGGCTCTCAGCGGCCTCAGCAGGACCTAAAAGAGGCGGGAAAACACTATCAATACTTCTACCCTGCACCCAATCCCGACAACAACAACTCATTTAATTACACCTCCTAAGCAGACTGGTGCAAACTGAAGCTACCGTTCATTGTCCAAGCTCTGATAGAGTATGTGCCTTTAAAGGTTGGAAAAGTTAATCAATATTAGGCAAACTGATAAAGATTCATTACAGTAAGACTGTATTGAAAAGCACTAGAGTTCAACATAGTCATGTTTGGTCCTGCTTTTGGTTAATTTTACAGTAATGTTTGTACATCGGCTTCATGTAAATGAATAATAAATGAATCAATATGAATAGATTAGATTATGCAACTGTCAAAGGGGCTGCTGTTTTTTAAATGTCCACATAAATTACCTAATCTGCTTTCTTTTCCTTTTACAGCCACAGGATAATCCAGTGGCTAATAGGGGAGTGAAACACTTGATCTGACTCAGATTTAGAGCTAATGTTGCCTTTTTTTGGCCATCGGTGGAGAAATGTGACATTTTTCTAAGGCGTCACCTCTTGGATGTCGTCGTTCTGCTCAAGGACCGACAAGGCAACAGCGGCGCACTCCAGCGTGGACAGGCAGATGTTGGAGGGCTGCGTCCGGATCACGTACTGGCTGGACAGTGTCCTGTTCAGCTGCACCTGATAAATAAAAGAAAATCAGCTCCAATCTGTCTCCCCATCTCTGACTCCAGCTCACAAAGACACTTTAACTTCTCCACCTGAGACAGAGACTCATGCCCGACACATAGGGACCAGTCCTCCTTTCTCCAGTTAAGAACAATGGCCTCACATTTGAACCAGATGTTAAAGTCTTACATGTGAAAATCTGAGCGGATCTAAATGCGACCTCTGATCCCTTGGACCTCCGGCCTGCTCGCACCTGTTTGGGCTGGTGGAACATGCTGTTTTTCAGGAACATGTTTTTGGCCTGGCTCCAGGTGCCATCGATGAGGATCACGTTGTGCTTCACGGTGCCGACCTCCCGGTACTGCACCAGCTCCTCCAGGTTCTGGGATTTTGGACCCGGGTACAGGATGAGCGTCCTGCTGTCGCGGCACACGGCGGCCAGCTCCGGGTGCCTGAGGGAAGGCGACACGTGAACATTTGCGATGGACATTCGGGGACAGCCGTGTTTGCAGCTTATCGTTCACTTACTTCTCTTCATTAAACCTTCTCCCGACTATGACGTTGCATTTTCCTTGCGGCAAACACGCAGCAAGAAGAGGCACCGTGCGAAGCACACGGCTCTCCTGAAAGCAGAACGGGGTAAAAATCTAATGAATACTATTATTCTCTGAATAAGAGGTTAACCCTCATTATGACTTATCAGGAAAAGCTGCATGTGACACAGAATAAAACTGGTTTTGGTCAAAACACCACAAAACAACACAGTTAATTCAAATTTGCTTTTAAAATGTCTTAAATAACTTGAAAAAAACACAATGTGCAGGTTGACCCTTCCTGGCTAAAGATCTGAACACTAAAAACCATATTTTGACCTGTTGGTTTTCACAGCTGTGACACAGTGATCTATGCATGCACCGATCATAAATATATTGAGATATTTAGGATGTGATGTTTAGGGGCTCACCTCTGCAGGATGCTGCACTACGTACAGACAAGTGGACACCTCCAGGGGTTGTGGTGGAAGAAAAGGACACAGACACACCTTCTGAGGGCGACTACATGGGAGGAAAGTTGAAGACGTGAAGCTGTGATTTCCGAGCTACTCCCCAAGCCTAATGCCCTCTCTTTTTCAGCTGGTCTTGAACTCTCTGTAACGACATGAATCTTTTCCCTCATTAAACCATGCCGGGCACCATCATAGGAGAAAAGGGGAGGCGGATCATTTCCACCCCGACAGCTCCAGCCCCTCTTAATTACCCGACTAGCTAGCATTAGCTTGAATGAAATTCAGCTCACCGGCACCGTAAACACGTCGGTCGTCTCTCTCCCACCTCCACCGGGAGCGCAGCCAGGTCTTCAAAAGCGTCGGTTAACCCATCTTCTGTGGACGAGATGTCGCTGGTTTCAAGTCTGCTTTCTTGAGGAGTGACATTGGGACACAAACAAGGACCATTTTCCATTGCGAAGTTAGCAACAAGCTAACTTTGCCAATGCTGCATTCGCTGTACCTCAGAAATATGACAAACCACCATTCACGGATTAGCAAATCTAAAAGTGAATTTATGTTTTATATTATTTTAGGGAGTATAACAAATATAGGGCTTCTTTGTATTGTATTAGTAGGTAAAATCAGAATAAAAAGGTGGCTAGAGTTTCTTTCTCCCATTGACTACCAAGGATAAACTTAGCTCCCACAGGTTTAAAATGCAGCACGGCCGGATTCATCCGGTGTAGATATGTGTAAACCAGAAAAGCCTTGTCATGCAAATAGTAAAGATGTTTGTCAACTAAATCTCTTGAGGGACTTTTATCCCGTTTTTTTTATTTTATTTCAAATACCGTTTGATAATAATTTCCCTCTAACACAGCAACTTTACCGTTCAACCAGTTTCGTAGTAAGTTTAACACTTAAAGTAAGACTTTATAGGCTTTCTATAACTTTTATTGAAAATCTTAACTGTGCTGTTTGGCTAACTGGGTTAGGGGACATATCCACGAATTTCTTAATAAAAGATAAGAATGGGATGTTTTTTAAAGGGGGGGGGGGGGGTAAACACAATATTTTACTCTCCTGTGTGACTAATGGATGTAGTAGATATATCAATTGGTTACATATAAAAGACGCAGTTAAAAATTTTACATCTAAACTGACAACTATTAGCATTACATTAAAAATGTCTTCCTAAAAATGTATGCAAGAACTCAGTCCCAGATTATGAATATGTTTATTTGAATAAGTCATTAAATATCTAGTTTCTGAAGCAGATGCTTATTTATACTGATTACTGGATTATTACTGGACAAATGTATTTTAGGTTTGTGAACTGTTTTGTTCTATATGATACATTTCTATGAGCTTGAATCTTGCACGGACAAACTCACGCCTGCCACCTTGTGGAGTGGAGGATAGGAGAATTAGAAATGTTGACACTGTCATGTAGGTGTCGCCAAAGCTATTTTTTTAGCATAAATTAATTACACTGCGACCAAAAATAAATTAAAACGTTGCTATTATTTATCGAAAATACACCACGTGTACAGTTTGTTCCTGTGTGATTGAATATCTGTGTGTGTGTTTTCCATATGAGCTTCAAGGTCAGCTCTGTAGCTGGGTCACAGGACCTCTGCTGGGCTCCAGATGGTGTGTTTGGATTCAACTAGAGGTGGAAATGAATTAATGCCAGCCTGTGCTGAATCCTATCAGAGAAAATCACGCAATCAGGTTGTTTTCATTCATAGTATAGAAAGAAATCCATGTGCAAAATAGTCCTTTGTGGCTTTGTAAGTGGTAAGGAAAGGGAGAAGTGAAAAACACACTCAAAAAGTTTTAATTTTTCATAAAGAAACCTGAACACGCTTACAAGGTCACACAAACTGCTCACTTTTCCTTTTTTTTTTTTACTAAGTTGGTGTTCAGTAAACAGACTCCTTAATGAAAAAAGGAGTCAGGTTAAATCCGTAGAGGCTTATTTTTAGCTGCAGATGCACCCCAGCGTGTTCTGACCCTTTTATCTGCAGTCGTGACCCAAACCTCTCCCCTTCGTGATCCGTGCACTGCTGCTGGAGAGGCAAATTGTTTTGATTAATAGAGCTATTGAGCTATTAATATCTGAAGCTGTAAGAATCTACCTATGGATGTGTTTACCACACTTTTAAGGCCTAACACGAAGGTCTCCTGTGTCTGTCACGGCATTGGAAAAGATAAAGTGGATGCAAATCTCGAGGCCATGCTAAAGTATGATGCACTGTGCTTTGTTTTTGGCTGGCTCAGCTGGCTCAGATGGTGCAGCTGGACTGTCTTCTTGCTTCTCCGGATTCATCTCTTTTGTGACTTCTGTGTCTTTTAGTTCGATTTGCTGCAGAGCTGCTTCCATCTCGCCTCCTCCTTCCTCAGCCGTCTTCGTGTCTCTCTCCTCAGCTGGTTTTGAGTCTCTTGCAGGTGCTTCTTCACATTCTGGTTCTGGTTGGCTTTCGGAGGACCCGGGTCCCCCCGGGGCCGGGGCGTTCTCTGGCAGCGGCTCTTCAGCAGGGGCCTGTGCGATGTCTTCTCCATCTCCCTCATCTGCCGTCTCTGCGGGCGATGCCGTCTCCTTCTCCTCCTCCACCTTTTGCTCCTTCCCTCCGGCCATCTCCTCTTCCTCCGGAGTCCCGTCAGCCGGGGTCAGAGGTGTTAGATCCAAACACGATTTAGGAGAGGACGCTGCCTTCTTCCTGGGAGGAGCAACTGGCTTGTTTAACTCTGGATCTTGTTTCCAAATCTCTTCACCTGCCTGGACGTTCACATGCGTCTCTTCGAGGTCAATGTGATCATCTAGAGCTCCCCAGTCTGGCTCCTCAGGTGGGAACTCAAAGCTTGTCAGGCTGAGTGGATCCAGCGGGCTGTCAGCAGCTTTTTCACTCACTATTGACACACTTTTCTGCTTCTTGGCTTTACTCTTTGTCTTAGTTTGCGTGTCTTCTTCTTCTTCTTCTTGCAATCGAGGGAAGGGGTCGATGTCGCAGGGGGAAGAGTTGCCACTGGATCTGAAGAAGTCGGTTATCTCTTCTGACTGTTGCTTATCGTCTTCGTCTGACTTGACCTGAAAATCTTCATACAGATCCTGGAGAAGGGTCCTCGATTCCTCTTCCGGTTGGTTTTCTTTCTCCGCCTGCTCCACTTCCACTGCAGGAGTCTCATCTATGAGGACGTATTTCTCCAGGTATCCCCTGGCCTCCCGGTCTGAATGCCGGCTGTGGAAGGACTTCTCAGACGTCATGCTTTCCGCATCCTCCTCCTTTTTCCAGCTGCCCACTGCCTCCTCGTATAGGTCTGTGTAGAGGAAAGCCATGGCTTTGGGCTCCTCCAGCAGAATGGGGTCGATAATTTTCGGTGGCCCTTCTGGTAGATAGATCGGAGTCAGGATCTCCTCTTGGCTTCCAAACAAATTGGAACCGCTCGGCTTTGAAGGAAGTCGGGATATTGGGGCGATGCCTCCGTCTGCCGAGCCCAGACTCTTAATTGGGTGGCTGTCCGTACCACCGTAGAAGACTTCATCCAGAAGCTCGCTGGTGATCTCCTCCAAGGCGCCTGTGTCCGACCGGTCATTATCCACCTTTTTGTTGACGACGCTCTCCTCTTCCGCTGCCGGTTCCTCTGTTTCCTGGCTCTCAGTCGCAGCCTCTTCCTTCGGTTCCTCCTGCTCCTGCGCCGTCACCGCAGGACTCCCGGGAGCCTGGGCATCAACAAGGGCGAAGGCCTCGAAGTAGTCCACGTTCCCAGCAGCTGCTCTGCCAGCAGGTCTGGCCACGGGAGCTCCTGGGGGGTCCATCGCAGCCGGGACCGGGGCAGGCGGGGCCTGGGCCTGGTCTCCCGGTCCTTGCAGGACCAGCAGCTCGTTGTCCTGGGTGTCCACAACAGCTTTAGGAACAAGGCTCTCCTCCAGATAGGACAGATTGTCCACCATTTCTTTGCTCTCTTCTTCATCCACGGTGGCAAATTTAGGGGGAACGACAATGTTTAAGATCTCAGAGCCTTCGGACACAATGCTGAACAGCCGCTGCTCTTTGTCCTCCAGAGGATCTGCTGCTTCCTCCTGGTCTCCCTCAACCTCACTTTTCACATTTGGTCGGGAGACTTCCACCAGCTCGGGCCGTCCTGAGATGTTTTCAAAGCTTTCCCCCAGTGCTTGTTGCTGCTTCTCTGCCTTGCTTTTCTGCTTATTTTCCTTCGTTTTCCTCTGTCTTGAAATCACCTCTTCGTCCATGACAAAAATTATCTTTCCTGCTGGGTGAGATTTGGGTGTCGCGGGCCTCACCGCAACCGGAGAGCCGAGCTCTGCAGCTCCGGCGTCGGACGCCCACGGCGTGGTGCAGCGGCTGGAGGTGGTCTCCCAGGCGATCCCACTGTCCTCACCCTGCATGGTTACCATGGAGAAAGAGGAGTCCATCATCAGGCACTGCATCTTGGGTTGGACGGTGGCATCGTGGACGACCTCTCGCAAACTGAAACAGCAGAAAAGGATGAAAGCTGCAAAGTTTTGCTCCCTTGAATATGGAAAATGTTCCACTGCAGGGCTCCAACCTCACTCCTCATCATTCAGCCACAGTGTCAGCACAAACAGGGACGTGCTAGCTGTTCAATCATCAAACATCCTGCGTTTATTCGGAACCATTTCACAGAACAATGTCCGTCAGTTTCCCATAAAAGTCAGGCAACGGCCAGAGGACCACATACCTATTCCGAAGGTTCTCCACCTCGTCGCCGACGTCGGCGCTCTGTCCTGCGACATCGTCCGGTGTCAACATCGTCATCTCACCATCGACATCTGAGCGTGTGAAGTCCTCGGTGGACGTGTCCATGGTGGGCAGTGAGCTGGTGGATCTGCTGCGGCCTCCCAGCACGACTCAGCGCTGCATTCTGAGCAACAGCGCTCGAGGGGGACTTTTCATGCTCAGCGTAATCTTGAAATAGGAAACTAGCCTTCCAGTGTTTCATCTGAAGCATTTGCATCACATGTTAGGGCCAACTTCACATCATCTGTTTGCGTTGCGCAATGCCTTCCACCAAGTGACGGACGTTTAAGACGTAAGTCTGGGCTCGTAACTGTGACTGGTGACCGATTTGAGCACATGTGGATTAGAAAAATAAAGATAATGTCAGTTTCTCTCTGCTGCCAGGTCTATATTTACTTGGGTGGCGGTGTCTTGTATCGAGTGTCAGTGTCAGTCTGTAGGCCTCGCTCAGTCATGAATGTTCACTCTGCGTTTTAGCTGAATAACAAACCTCACAGCATGAAAACAAAACAGGAATATTTCTTAGATAAATATATGCACTGCACCTTTTTCTCCCCAGTGTTACACTGTCAGAACATATCAGAAGTTTGAGTGGAAATCAATCTCTTTTTTGTCTGTATGTGTCAGGAAAACTGGAAATAGGTGCACTATTTTATTGAAATGCGCAAACTTGGATTTGAACATAATAAATAGGTATTCATTTTGAAGCTCGATACAAGCCGTCAACACCCAAACTAAAGACCCTGGAGAACTGTTGCTCAAATCCATTGTACAGAATTATAAGAGTCAAGGAAGTGAAAAATGTGGAGATGTACGGTCGGATGTTTAATTCAACATCTCCTCTTCTCTCAAGTTGTAAGGATGAATAATTATTGAAGTTAAATGTATTTAAGAGCTGCTAATTCTGGATTTTTGATCAAATGATTTATTGTAAACTGTATTGGGACTTAATTATTTGAACGTGAGGTAAACATTTTACACAGGTCAAACAGGCTTGCCCTGTGCTCCGGCCAAAATGTTGTTGACATCGTGCTGTCAGACTGCATGACTTAATTCAGCTATTTCTTCTTCTGCGATTTAATGTTTCAACGCAGGATTTGCGTGATGACGTAGTGACGCTGACGCCTCCAGGGACCAACGGCCACGGCGTCTGGAGCTGTGTGAGATGAGCGAGACGAGGGGCTGACAGAGGGCAGACGGGTGCCTGGTGAAGGAGGGCGAGCCGACCCAACGACGGAGCGGAGCCTCAGCGCCGTCATCCCGCTGCATCTGAGTCCCGGTTCGGGAGGAAGCCGCTCAGCAGGGAGAGCACCTCGGCTCTGAATCCCCGGTAAAAACGTCCCGGGCGGCTGAATACTCAGTGGGGACGTGATGATAAAACCGGGAGCGGGCTCCGGGCGGTTTTCGGCTTCGCCTCCAGAAGGTGCAGAGATGAAGCCACGTCTGGGAAGATGTCCGTCATCACCGAGCTGCTTTAAACGCCTCACCGTCGGCTGTAAAACTCTCTAATATTCTCGTTTTTGGGGGCGGTTGAATGGCACATCGGACTTCACTGGAGCCAGCGACTAAAACTGGGATTAACGCGTTGACGGTCTGTCAAAACTCCGGCTGTTCGTGTTTCGAGGCGCATTCGGCTATAAATCAGGCTCCCTCTGCCGTCAGCCTGATCCCGAGTCGAGCTCCATAATCCCACGCAGCTGAGGAAGGAGTTTGGGTTGATTTGGCCGCCGGTGGAGACGACCGAGCGCGAGCCCGAGCGCGAGCCGCTTCGGTGTCCGTCGTCATGCCGCGTTTCTCTCCGGAGAAACCAGCCACGACGATGCACCCGAGGGCATAGCGGCACCCCCACCTCCTCCCTCCCCCCCCACACACACCCCTACACACACACACTGACACACACACACACCCCGAGCCATGTCGGACCGAAAACAGCAGAGTGGCTCCAGCTAGGCTGCGAACCCCACAGCCAGAGGGAGGCTTTATTTAGCGGGAGGACCGGACCAGCGGCGGCTAGCTCCCCTCCAAGCCTGCTCGCGCCGCCCCTCGAGAGAGAGAAAGACCACTTTGGACCCCAAGTTGACGACACAATCCGGGGAAAATGGGGTAGGTGGCTGGCGGTAGGTGGCTGGCGGTCAGAGAAAGCGGTAACACTCAGCCAGCATGCCGGGGTGAGGCTCAGTTTGTTGTTGTTGTTGTTGTTTTTTATGTTTGTGGGGCTGAACTCCACATTTAAACGCTGCTAAGCTAGCTACCTGCTGCTAACTAAATTAGGGGCTGCTGTCATCCCATGAAAACCCCGAGGAGCATGCAGCCTCACACCGGTCTTATTTTAGCCCGAATTTGGGCTGAATTACAGGAATTTAGGGCTGCAAATGACTGGAAAACACTCGCCCTGTTATGCTTTATTTTTGATCAGTTGTAATAGATTTAAATCAAGTTAAAGAGGTTAGAATTCAGACCCATTCAATCCCCTCTCAGCTAGATTGATTCAAATCTTTGTCATTTTGAGAGTAAAAGGGCATTTCTGAATGAAAACTGTGAATTTTAATCCTGTGTTTTGCTAAATGTACAAAAAAACACATTATGTTCTCGTGGCCTCTAGTTAATTTTAGATTGTTTAGCACAGAGTTTTACTAAACTGATAAGCGGCAAAGAAAGTGAGACGTACGTCTGCTTCCTTTGGTATAAAACAGAGAAATTAGGTAATTTACCAGCCACCTCACACACACACACACACACTTCAGATTTGAAACTTTTCTTCAATTTTGGGAGGTGTGAGTGACATGGATCAATATTGTCAAAAACCTCTGATGATGCTCATTCAGCTTTTTCTTGTCAGTTGTCGAGACAGGCGACAGTGTTATTTTAGATTCACATTCTGGACTTATTTGTATCTTTTTAAAAGTCTTGGTGACACAGTTTCACCTCTTTTCTCTTACACGTGAAATAGAATAAACACAAATGAAATTAACCTGCTGCTTACAGTGTTCAGTTAGAAGAGAGACAGCTATTATTGGAGACAATGGAAAGGCTTAAGGCTTCCAAAGCCCATTCAAAAAGACAATTCAACCCACACTGTGGCAGCAGATGCTGCTTATTCCCAGCCAGATGTGTCCACAATTTGGATAGAGCAGAAACAAAATGGCAAGGTTGTAAAAGGGTAAAATACATGCCAGTGAAGTTATCCTAAAAAGAAGTTTCAGCTCTCACCTAAAAGGCTTCTTCAGTATTTTTGAATGAGAAGAGAAATGTCTTAAAGATCGAAGAAGTCCAGTCAACTTTACTCAAGCTCTTAGGTTTACCGTAACCTTTTTGCTTGAGTTCTCCTTCCTGAGTTTAAACTTATCCACAGAAAATTTTTTTTTTATTTTAAGCAAATATCTTCGTTTATTTATTTTTTTCTCCCTGTTTTGTTTTATGTGAATATATTGAATGATGTGGCATCAGAATCATCTGAAGAGAAACAAAAACTGAAAATATAAAAGCAAAGTATCCGAAAAAGATGCAGTTTGAACTTTTTGCTTTGGAAACACAAAAAAGGGGAGAATGATAAAAGCGTATTGGTCTTTTTTTAACACGGCCAAAAAAAGCACTAAAAAAATACTTTTTTTCCCCATGCTCACGAGAGGGTTCATCACCCTTTTACAGCTCAGGGTGGAAGTAGCGGCTGCCCCCCCCGTCGGCCGGACGTATTCAGCTCCGGCACTCCTTGAGAAAAAAGTTGTGGGCGGAGAAAAACCAACAAATGTTGCATTTAATTTAGCGGCGCTGAAGATAAGTCTTTAAGTCGGCGTGGCCGGGGCGACCGCGGGGCGCTCAACCTGCAGATGTATGGCGCTTCTCCTGATCAGGCCGACCTAGTTCTTACTCCAGATGATGTAGCCTGGGATTGGTTTGTTGTCATATTGTGGTTGGAGGAGGAGGAGGAGGAGGAGGAGGGGAGGGAAGCGCTAACCTCCTCATCCTCAGTAATTCTCTGGGCCAGCGGTTATAATCCAGTCAACTATCGGTTCCTCAAGCACAGGAAGAGCGTGCAGAACAGGCCGGGGGGGCGCTCACACCTTAATGAAGCGCTCCTCCTCCTGCGTCTCCCTTTGCCCGGCGGGTGGAGGTCCAAAAGGCCCGTGGAATTAAACCGCGGCCGGATTAATCTCCGCTGCGCTTCAGCTCGCGGCGGCAGAGACCTACAGCCGGAGCCCAGACGCCAATCCAATCGGGGAAAATCGGCGACATTCCCTCTTCAATTATGCGGAGGCCTTTGATATCAACTGGGAGCAGGTGATCAGGGAGGGAAATCTGAGGATCATTTCATGTTCTTGATCAATGATCAAACCATTTAAAAGAAAAAACAAAAATGGGCTTGTGGAAATAGAGTAAAAATGAGTAAGAAGTAATTCATTTAAAAAAAAGAATTTTAAGTCATGATTGAAATAAATTAGTGAAATATAAGGGATGCTAAAACAAATTAAGTTAAAATAAATAACGTACAAGCAAATTGAAATAGATAATTAAGCCTGTATGATGATGATAATAATAATAATTGAGAAAGTCAAAAAGAAAAATGTTTTTATTTCACATTCTGTATTTCACAATATTTTAGCATGTTTTGCCAATTAATAATATAAAAGGTCATTTTTTTATTCTAATAGTGTCAGTCCTCTGTATGAATCGATACTGGTGGTTGGATTATCTGCTCACCATGAAGTCTCCTTCATGCCCACATCAGCTGCTAACGTGCCACCAACATTCAGAAGGCGACGGCCCCTTTTGCCTCCATATTTCACCTCTGCTGTTCTGTCTCTGCCTTTTCTTTGTTATCGGGCTCTTCCTCTTTTCCCATTTGGCTTAAAACCCAAACGTGCAGCCGTGGCAAATCCATGAAGTCAATGTCAGTAGATGCTCATCGTCTGTCAAATATTAGAAGTTAAGCTTCTTGAGATAAACCGCCGGACATTAACGCGGCAGAAGGAGGAGTGGGGTGGATGGAGGGAAGAAAATGGTCAGGTTAGTGGAAATAATCACACTGGGCAACATTAAAACATTTGAGTTTTGATAATTATGAAGGTCTTTATTTCCAATTTATGCTGAGAAACTGCATTAAAAAAGTTTGATCTTTGGTTTCTGGCCAACAGATGTGAAACATTAATGTGAGAGTCATGATTTAAAGTGATTATTTTAACGGTGGAGCACCATTTATTGGTTACAACTGAATAATTCTTTACCGTTTATTCCGCTTTTCTGTCTGTACCCTTCATTGATGCTAAGACAGGTTGTGGTTGTGATCTGAGCTGGGCCGAGCAAAGGAAGCCTGGAACGATCCGAGATCTGAGACTGGAAACGGGCCGAGTGGCCCTGAATGCATCCCAGTTCCACCTTTGGGTGCCTGTGCCTCTGGAAAGCTTTTCCTGCCGGCTGATTTCAGAGCTGCTGCAGCCACATGATGTCAGAGGAGCCCCCCTCCCTCTGTGATGAACGGCTCTGTCTCTAGACAATATTGAGCCCAGACTTAATTAACAGATGAGGTGGGAGCAGCGGGGGGGGGTTCCCAGAGGAGTCCTGGGACTCTTTGCTGGCTGCTGAGCATCCAGGCAGCAAATCTCTGCTGAGGAGCCCTAAATCAGCCGGGCTTCTTCCAGATTTAACACCCGCCTCGCTCCAGGAAGCGCTGGCCGGTTCGTTTGAAGTGTGAAATGAGGTCCTGTCGTCACCTCGGTCTGGACAAACAAGAGGTGTGGACAAATGTTCCGCACAGTCAGCGGTTTCAGGGGAAATCGTCCGTCATGTTTCCCACTTTGGCGTCTTTTTTTGGCTCCTGATGACACAGACTTTACGTTCTTCATCTCCGTTAAAGAGAGAAATCGGTTTTAAATTCGTCTTGAAATTGAGTTTGAATTTGGATAAAGAGGGTTTTGTTTTTTATGGAGGGTACAGAAAGTCATCAAAGTTCTGATTATTCTGTTGCTCTGTTAGGTTTTTCTGACTTTTTCTGTGTCTCGATGGTAGAAAAAAAGACGTTCAGCCCTCAAAATAACTTTTTTTTGTCCTGTTGATTGTTGAAAAGTTGTTTTTTATGACGGCATCCAAACATCTGGATTCTGTCAGAAGAGAGAAGAAGCGTTTTTAGTTGATTTCTACATTTCGGTGTCACCTGAGTGTTTTTAGTTTTTGGCTGATGGCTTGTCTCCCCCTCCCCCCCCTCTGTGCAGTGAGCAGCCCATCTTCAGCACGAGGGCCCACGTCTTCCAGATCGACCCCAGCACCAAGAAGAACTGGGTCCCCACCAGCAAGCACGCCGTCACCGTCTCCTACTTCTTCGACAGCACCAGGAATGTGTATCGAATCATCAGTCTGGACGGATCCAAGGTGCGTTCAGGCGCCCCAGCTCTGCCGTGGGCCCGTTTGCATACGGCAGACTCAAAGAGGAGCCGCTTTTCTGCCCGACTGTCCGAATTTATTTAGGGTTTTTTTCAGTCTAATTTAATCTGCGTGCAGCTTTTTCTGGATTCTTGTTTTTGGGCCGCTCGAAAGCATGTGGCAGCACTTATTTTGGTTTTTCAGAGAGGTTCAGGGGTGGAGTTACATCGTTATGTAAGAGCCGCTCTGGGGGGGCTGGGGCTGCTGTGGTGGGTGGGGCCGGCGACGAGCGGGTAATCAGACGGTCAGAGGAGACGCTCCCATTAATTAAAAAAGAAAAGGAAGAAGCGACACACTAAGTTTCTGCTTTGTGGTGCGTTTGAGCCCGTCAGCTGTTGAATCCTCCAGCAGGAGACTAAAAGTTCATAAAATCACTTTGGGGAACAGAGAGGAACATTTAGCTCCTCTATAAACTGAATCAACAGCCCGCCCCCCCCCCGGCTTTTAATGAGCAGGTTTGCTTAGTTCAGTTCTGCTGCCCTCCTGTGGCCCAAAAAGTTTCAAATAACTTAAAAGTTAGACCTGAAACGCTTCTCAAACTAAAGCTGAACTCTCCTTCCTAAAGTATTTAATCATTCCGAAAATCTAAAGGGTAAGTTGATGTGAAGTGAAAAAAAAAACGGTTTGGATCCGTCTCAAACTTCCCCGTAGAAACGAACACTTTTAGTTTTTGACTGGTTTCAGTGTAAAAAAATGGTCTTTGGGGTGTAAACCAAAACAGAGGCCTGGAAACTGAGGCCTCCTGTATTTCTACCTCAGGGTGCACTTTCCCTCACTCTGTAAAGTTTTCGACCAGTACAGTCGCTTCGTCCAGCCGTTTCCTGTCTCTCGGGAGGACGTCTTTTCATAAATTTTGCTCAAACGTTGTCCACTTAAAAGTCTGACCTCGGACGTCTGAGACTCTGATTTCCCGGCTGCCAGCAAACGCACCTCAGTTTTCGGCTTTTCTGACGCGTGTCCCCTGCTGTCTGGCCGCAGGCCGTCATCAACAGCACCATCAGCCCCAACATGACTTTCACCAAGACCTCGCAGAAGTTCGGCCAGTGGGCGGACAGCCGGGCCAACACCGTCTACGGCCTGGGCTTCTCCTCCGAGAGCCACCTGCTCAAGGTGAGCGCCCGCCGCCCCCCCCCCCCGCCACCTCTGGAGCTGCTGGAAGCAGCCGCTCCAGCTATCTTTTTCTTTTTTTTTGTCCTTCCAGTTTGCTGAGAAGTTTGCGGAGTTCAAAGAGGCGGCGCGGCTGGCCAAAGAGAAGTCCCAGGAGAAGACGGAGCTGGCCAGCACCCCCTCCCAGGTGAGCAGCCCCCACCTGTCCGGCTCTACGCTCAGAAACGGCTCCGGATGGACTTTCAGAGCTTTAAGATAGACGCGTTGCTACTGTGAACTCCTCATTTAAAGGGACATTATGTAGGATTTTATTGGCTAAAATATATTTTTTTCCATTTATAAATGTGTCTTAATTTAGTGTAATATCACCTCTACAATGATCTGACTTCTCCTCATACGTGAAGAATTTCCTTGCTTTATATACACAGGACGGGTAAGTCCACAGAGGTTTCCGTGTCGTTCCGCCATTTTGAAAAACTATAATGGCAGAGAGGGACATAAAGCACTAGTCTGGCTGTCTAGCTAATCCACAACGTGTTTTCGTTCAGAGCCAGAGTCACATGACTGAAACCAGCTACAATAAGTGAGAGGCGCTCGCTTGCCACCTCTATGCTATGTCACTGCCTGGCAAATGTCTTTTTCCGGTAGCGTTTTGGTGTTAAGCGCTGATTTGAGCCCTGAGCATGAACATGTCATGAAGCCCCCGGTTGCGTCGCCCGCTGGCATCCAGCCGCTGAAATAACTCTGTGGCCTGTTTCGCTCTCTTTGTCCCGCCTAACGCTCCCTCCTCAGGGCCCTGCGGGGAAAAGGAACCTGTTGTCGGTCGGCAAACCCGGCAAAAAGCAGGTAAAAGCTCGTAGAAAGCATAGCGACTCCCGGTCCTGATCTCCCGGTCCTGATCTCCCGGTCCTGATCTCCCGGTCCTGATCTCCCGGTCCTGATCTCCCGGTCCTGATCCTCTGGTCCTGATCTCCCTGCTTCTCTCTGCCTGATGTCTTTGGATCCCCCAGCAGGAGCAGCCTCTCCCTGCCAAACCCCAAACAATCCCTCTGCTGTGCTCTCAAAAACAGAGAAACTGGAATGGGCCTTAACTTGTAGTTTACCTGAACGCAACTAGAAAAAAAAAGCTTATGAAAAGCCCATGTGATTCTTAATCTGACTGAACAGAGAAGTCAGATTTTAATTTGGTTTTTGAGAGCACGGATGCTTCATTACAGTCTGTGTGTTGTGTTTTAAAGGCTGGAGCCATCTGGCTTGTATGCAGGTTCTGAATCCACTGTCCCACCCACAGCTTCAGGTCCAATCTGCTGGTTATATTAGCTTAGCCTAGCCTAGTTTAGCTGAAGTGTGACAAACCCACAAATTCTTTAATATCAGGAACTTTTGATCTTTTTGAGCTGCCAGTCCTCGGCAGCACCTGCTATGACTCATGGGTAACGTGGGGGGGTGTAACATTTCTTAACTTGACTCTGTCCAATCAGGAGTCGGCTCCCGGCGACCTCCTGTCACCCCTGACCTCTGAGAGCATCAACGGCACCGAGGAGGAGCGGGTCCGGCCGCCCACGCCCCAGCCGGGCGACGCCAGGTCCGAGCTGGCCCAGAACGCCCTGCCCTCCTCCCACAGGTGGGTCGCAGCGCCGCCCGGAGGAGGCGTTCAGGGACCGCCGGAGCCGCGGGAAGTCCGGAAGCCACCCCGCAGTTGCTCACATCCAAAGCCAAAGCGACCACAGGGGGAGGCTAACGTGGGGCTAACGCTAACGCTCTCCTCCTCCTGTCTCCAGCTCCACCAGCATCAACAAGCACTGGGAGGCGGAGCTGGCCGCCCTGAAGGGGAACAACGCCAAGCTGACCGCCGCCCTGCTGGAGTCCACCGCCAACGTCAAGCAGTGGAAGCAGCAGCTGGCCGCCTATCAGGAGGAAGCGGAGCGGCTCCACAAACGGGTCTCCCTCTCCCCCCCACACTTTACTTTAACATATAATTAATCGCGGGCCCGTGCTGACCCAGATGTTCTGCTGTGGTCAGGTGACGGAGCTGGAGTGCGTGAGCGGCCAGACCACGGCCATCAAGTCCCAGAAAACCGAGCTCAACCGGACCATCGAGGAGCTGGAGCTGGCCCTGAGGGCCAAAGAGGAGGTGGGGGGAAGCCAAACCGGGGGGGTTAAAATCAAAATGGAGGCTGGCACTTTACCCGGATGTCCTTTTTTTTACTTTCCAGGAGCTGGAGAGCCTCAAAGCCGAGGTGGAGGGCGCCAGCGACTTCCGGCTCCAGATGGACTCGCTCTCCCAGAAGCTGAAGGCACGCCTCCCCCCCTCTCCCCCCCCAACCAAAGCCCCCCCATTTCGGCCCGTCCCCTCTTACCCCCCCCCCTTTAGGAGTCGGAGGGCCGGAGCCAGACGCTGGAGGCGCGGCTGGGCGAGCTGGAGCGGCGGCTGGAGGGCGAGCAGCAGGAGCGGGAGGCGCAGCGCCGCAGCCTGCGGGCGCTGCTGCAGCTGCTGGACAGCAAGATCTTCGAGCTGACCGAGCTGCGCGACACGCTGGCCCGGCTGGTGGAGGGCAGCTAGGCCCCCAACCCCCCCTCTCCCGGGTACGCTGGACCCTCACACACGCGTTCACGCACAGCTCCACAAACGCCAAACGGCTCCGGAGACTACCGTCTGTCAACTTTTCCTCCTCCTCACTGCTCACACAGAGGGATCCTTCCTTTTGGTTTTTCTCCGCAATGGAGGGACCGACAGGACAGGACGTCGGTTTGACTAAAGTACGGACAATAAACGAGCAATACAAAAAGAAAAAAAGACTAAAGGAGCATCAGAGGGTCTATAGACACTTCCCACTCTCACTTTCAGGTAATTTCACTCCTCCCTCGGATACGACGAAACCACAACGGAGGCAGGAGTTTTTTCTTTCTGGTTTGGATTCTTTTTTTTTTTAAGGGTTTTACGACTTCATAGTGCACTTGTCTGTCTGTGTGTGTGTTTGTGTGTGTGTGTGTGTGTGAATTGGACTTCTCTCCCTACTCGTTTCTGTTGCAACTTGAAGTGCAATGATCTGTTTATTTATTACTGAAGAAAAGCTGAATATCTTTATTTACATCTTGTTTTGACTTGATCTTTTTTTTTTTCATCTGGTACAGCTGTCAGGAAGGTTTTTGGGAGGGGTAAAAAAGAAAAAAGGCAATATTTATCCGAGGAGAGAAACCCAGCAGAGGATCTTCTTTGTTATCTTTTGCCAAATACTTTTTTCCTGCACAGCTCGGGGTTTTTGCAGACGTTGCCTTTGGCACCAAGATGCAACAACGGTAGCTAAGGAGCGGTACTTTGTTTTTTCGTGGGGATCAACTGTTGCCAAAAACGAGAGAATAAGCTTCAGAAAACTCACACTAAGGGCTCGCTGCTGGTTCGGGTTCGCTTGGACGGACGTGCACACGGCTGGAAAGGCATTTTACCACGACCCGTAAAAGCTGATCAGACCACACGCTTAAAAACACTAATTGTAACTTTGAGTTTATAGTAAAATAAAAACCAAGCGACGACGGTGGACTTGTGTGTTGTTTCACAGCTAAACCGGCGCTCTCTGTTCGGTGAGGCAGGGCTTTAGAGGTCTGTTAGCCGAAAGATGTGGTGGGAAAAAGATCAGTAAACTGGAGCCTGAACTTTAAATACCGCTTATTTTGGAAAGTAAACCCCTTTTGATGAGCGACTTTTTGCACTTCCTCGACTGTTAAATACATAATGTGGAGCTCCAGACGTCATGTTGCGAAGTCAAATTAACAGAATATTAATCTCACTGCAAAAGGTTAAAACCACTTAACACTAATTATTTATATCAGAGTAGACTGAACAAACAACATAAATAACGCATTAATAACATGGATCATTCCACTTATGAAGATAGAAATACAGATGATGGAGGGATCTGGACTCATTCAGGGGAAAAGACTGAATTATTAGTCTTTATTCACATTAGAGCGCTCTGTTCCTGGTAGCTTTCCCTGTAGTCGGGTTCCTCTCTAAAAAGGAACCCTGCTCTTTTTAAAACAACAGAAAAACAAAGGCGACATTTTGATTCTTTAATCTCAAAGGAAAAAATATACATGGGTATATAAAGCCGAGGAATGTGATGAAAGGAGCACAGAGAAAACTTTTATAAAGTACATTTACATTTGTATGCTTTTAAAAAAAATTTCAAATATGACATTTTCAATAAATACTTCAATACATTTAGGCATGCGGATACACTTGAAGTCATTTGCATTTCAGTACAGGATAACATGACTTTTCTCTCCATCTTATTGCACGTACGGTGTGATGGGCTTGTCCTCAAACCCGCCACACGCGTGAGGTGGTGGGTCTGCTGAGGGGCGCCCGGAGCAGGACGCTACTGACCGAGACGTGGAAATAAAATAAAAAAGCAAGACGCCGGCAGGAAGGTTGTGAGCGGGTGCAAAGAAAAGCGTGCTCTTGCCTGGCGTGAAGAGTCGGGCTGACGTGATAAAAGTCCTGATTCTTCTGTCTGGGGGGAAAATGGTGATCACCAGTGTCCTAATCCTGACTTCTGCACAGCTTGTCTAACCGTATTTAAAAATTTTCAGAACCCATTCCCAATTCCTCACTCTGAAATCTTAAAGACGTGGAGATTTGATGTCGATCTGCTTTTAGAAAAACTAAAACCGAACAGAGGTGGAGAAGAAGCCGGTCCGTCTCGTCTTTGACACGCCGACTGAGGCACAGCTTGTAAACGGGTCGGGATCCTGCGGCGTTCCGGTAAACGGAGCGCGGCTCCCTCCGGCTGGCTGGTTTTCAGCATTTCGTAAACATGGTCGGGAGCACGTGATGGTTTGGCACAAACTGGCGTTGGCACCCCTCGAGCTGTACTCTGAAGAGCTGTCCGGCCAGAGGATGCAGATTAGAGCAGATCTGACGGGCTTTTTCCTCCGGACCTGCTGGCCGGTTCCCCCGGTTTCAAGTCCTCCTGCTCAGCCAATTCAATGTTGATTCTCGTTAAACTAAAAAAAAAAAGTCACATGACTTTTCGTAAAATTTGCCAGAACAAAAAAATTTTAAAAAAAGAAGCAGACTTCCTCTGGATGAAGCCACAGTGATCAATAAACGACAAACAGAATGCGCACTTTCAGCTAAAAACAAACTCACACACCAAACAAACACAGAATCCAAAAGAGGAAGAAACATCTTTGGGGAAAAAAAATCAAAGGCAGTGGGAGGAAGAAGCCACGCAGAGCCTCCGTAGAGATAAGAAAGGCCCTCCTTTTCTGGGGTGCAGCGCGGGGCTGCGGCCAGCAGAGGGCGGCGCCGCTGACCGGCTGGAAAACCTTCAGTTTAAAATCATTTTAAACTCAAAACAAACGATCAGTTGTGGGAGAAATATTTGCTTTGATTGCCTGCAGCTCAGAAAAAAAAAACAGACCTAAAAGCGACTTAAAAGAAGCAGGTTCAATCGTTTGGGTTTCTTTGAAGACGTGCTAAGAATCGGGCTTCCTGTCGCCGATTCTCCGCTTCTGATTGGTCAGAGTGATCCAGCTGTGGGAGGCGGGGGCCGAATGAAGCGGTGGGCGCCGTGGAAACGGCTGCTGATGCGGTAAGAGGTGGAGGCGCTCCTGAAACAAACCCATCACAGCGAGCTACAGTACGCCCCCCCCCAGCGACCGGGGGAACACAGTAACGGTTTTGTTCTTGGGGCAGAACTGAGGAGGCCTCTTCGTCCCACCCCCCCTCCCCTGGCGGGCCCCCCCGTGGGCGCTCAGCTCTCCCAGTCCGTGCAGGGCAGGCCCTCGTCCTCGGACTCGGACTCGGGCGAGGCCTCCTTGATCCGGCGCAGCGCCTCGTGGATGCTGCGGGTCAGGGCGTCGGCCGAGTGGGGGAAGCCGCGGGGGGGCCGCGGCGGCTGCTCGGGGCCGGCGCCCACCTTCTTGAGCCGCACGCCCTGCCGGATCTGAGCCAGGATGTTGTTGGTGTCGTCGTCCGGGTCGGGGCCCAGCACGCGCAGCTCCGCCTTCCGCAGGTGGAAGCTGCCGCGCTTCAGCGAGGCCAGCACCTCGTCCATGGGCGAGCTGGCTGCAAGCAGAGGGGAGGTCACTACCGCCCGCATGAGGGGCCAGACCAATCCTAGAAAACCTCACGTCAGGTTCCCTAACTGGACTTTACAAAATTATTTTTACTTTGACTTTTTTTCCCCCCTTTCTCTCGGCCAGGTTTGGCAGAATTTTATCGCTTTATGGTTCTTTTGGCTTTTAAAGGAAACTGTAAGAACCAGGATACACGCTTTTCCTCAACAAAAGGGGGGCAGCTCTGAATTCACGCTACATCGTGACCAGACCTTTGTCATAAAGTGGATTTGTCTTAAAGCCTGTTTGTCATAAAATGTCTTTTTTATAGTGTCTTTGTTATAAAGTGTATTTTTCATAAAGCCTGTTGGTTATAAAGTGTGTTTGTTATAGAGTGTGTTGGTTACAGAGTGTGTTGGCTATAGAGTGTGTTGGTTATAAAGTGTCTTTGTCATAAAGTGTGTTTGTTATAGAGTGTGTTGGTTACAGAGTGTTGGTTATAAAGTGTGTTTGTCATAAAGTGTGTTTGTTATAGAGAGTTATGGTTATAGAGTGTGTTGGTTATAGAGTGTTTGTTATAGAGTGTGTTGGCTATAGAGTGTGTTGGCTATAGAGTGTGTTGGCTATAGAGTGTGTTGG